CAATGATTTACAAAAACAAAAAAAAAGGTTCATATTTTTACGGAAAGATGTCACTATAATTATTCATGTTATTATTAATTCATATTTAATTATTATTTCAAAACTCTTTAATTTTAATACTCATTTTTAACCACATATTTACAAAATAAAATATTTTACATGTAAAAATTTTTCCTTACTTTTTAACTACACGTTTTTTCAAAAAATTAATTTTTAAAATTCAATTTTCTCAAAATAATAAATATCAAACATGGACTGAACGTGAACATTCAAACATCAAGAAATATGATGAAAACGTGATATTTTGTGGTTTTGTGCGAATTGCTATAATCTCAAAGTATTTCCAAGAGACTCTCTATTTATAAAGAACATTTTATGTATAATATAATCATCTTTAAATTTAGAGAGTAATTTTTTTATGCAATACTCTAACAAACTCTCTATTTTGGTTTTTTTTTAATGAACATTTATTAATTTCTCTTCATCTATTATTTAACATCACTTTTGGAAAGAAAAATTGCAGTCACGATACCAAACATTTTACTTAGTAGCAGACTTTACCCAAACCTTTCATTTGTGCCACCGTACCAAACCCATAAAAAATTCACAGCTCAGGTCAAGATTGACGGTTTCCTTTCATTTATGGAAGGAAAAATTGCAGTCACGATATCAAATATTTCACTTAGTAGCAGACTTTGTCCAAATCTTTCATTTGTACAATTATAGGTACAAAACCTTTAAAAAATTCACAGCTCAAGTCAAGATTGACGATTTCTGTCAATTTGACCCAAAAAACCGTTAGTTGACCTCAAAAATTAAAATTTTAATAATTTTGATCAAATAAGACAAATGTAAAATGGTAACTTTATAATTTTAAAAATAAGAAAATCAACAATAAAACCCATCTCTTTCTTCAATCTTCCCCAATTCCCTCACCCAAAAATCAAATACATATTTAATGATTGATACTTGTTCATCTTTAATGACGAGCAAATGTGAAGTCTTATGAATGTTTCTCGTTTCTAATATTATTTTCAATTATCGTATAAACATTAATAATCATTTTAATATATATGACCACTTTTTATTTTATTCTAATACAA